AGCAACGCGAAAAACGATACGAACCGATCGACGAAGGACATATTATAAATTGAACCAAACGATCAAAGGAAACCATGTCAAAAGAGAATGCATTAATGGTAATACGATTAAAGTAAAATTCGCTGCGTCATAGACATTAAGGATATTAATGTAAACAGGACGCTAAATACTTTCGAGGGTAATGGGAATTCATTGATTATTGCAAATACGTGATAATAAATCGTATCGCGATAAGGAAATGTGCGTTCGTTCCAATAATTCAATTGCGACGGGCAATTCCTGTGATGCAGCTACGGGGAAAATTCAACTAAAGAATCTGAATCGGGGAAAATTATCGCAGCGGCCACGTTCATACATATTGATCGGTCTGTAATTAATTTGCTTTCGCTTTTCAATCATTCTATCAGTCCTTGCAGCCACATCTTAATTACACTCGGTAATTAGCAATTGAATATGCAGATAGGCTAATTATTAAAATAACAGCGCGTTGCTGCCTCAGTGTTGTAAACACTGGGTAGGAAACGATCCGAGACGAGAGCGTCTGCGAATGTCTCTCGAACAGAATCGAAAGAGAATCAATGGAATGAAGTAACCATGATTGTTAGAATATCCCGATGTAAAGGTTAATAAAGTTTTCAAAGCATTAAAGAAGTTCGACGAATGAGTTTCAAACATTCGTGACGGTAATTTACAGCTGCGCGGAATGTTACAGCAGGCATTTTAAAATTTTCATTAGCACAGTCATAGTGTTCAACGAGACTAGATTTAACACGTATTGTAAGCTCGAAGCAGGCAATTCGTGCTGAATACTAATTTCTTGCAAACGGTAAACTTTGCAATAAGTCTAAATCATATCATTCGTGGCTCGAATCGTCAAAACAAGAAAAATATCTTTCCACGTAAAATCTCTTTTATTTCCATCCTCGTCTCGGGTCAATTGCCAAACAAATATCCTGGTTTTCTAGTCTCGGGGCATACCGTTCGTTCGGAACACGCGCAGAGCTGGAACGGTCTCGCGTGTCTGCGAAGTGATATCAGCGACGGGTAGTTTAACGACACTTCAACCCCCGGGAACTGTACAACGTACAAGGAACGAAGTTGTTCATTTCCGGCAAGTATAAAGGACTGGCCTGCTAGCCGAAAAATACTCCGGTTAATCCAGAGGAGGCCCGGTAAAAGTCGTAAAATAGCGCGTGACTGTCAGTTCTGCCGGCGGAAAGAAAAAAGGAAAAGCGGACAGGAGTGCGCAGTGCGCACGCCGGCCGATCGCTCGTGTGCGTGGACGTGCCAGCTTGCCGAGGGAAACTCGTGGAAGTTTGTTGAAATACGAGCGGGGCGTACGTACGTCTCTCTACGACTACAGATGCCATTACGAAGATGGCGGTAGGCAACTGAAAAAGTACACAACCGCGGGCCTTCTAGTGGGAAACACGAAGGGTGGTTGCGAGGCCAGAAGTGGGGGCCAAGAACCAGGGGTGACTTGAAATAGCGTGTAATGGCATACCTAATGTACGTGTAAGCTGCTTAGTAGAAACTGAATTAAAACTTCGAACTGACGCTATATTTCGTCTTGTTTCGTCCACGGTCTGCCGTCTGAAATATGGCGGAACTCCTGGCGAAGCTACGAACGCGACAAGTTTGTGCGTATAATTAACACTTGAACCTCAAACCTAACCAATCTGTAATTTCGTAGAAATTCGGAACGGTGCGTTTCTGGAGATTTTTCGCGTTTCCTACGATTTCAAACGTTATTTCTCCACTTTTATGTTTTAATGATTGATGGTTTTAACGTTAACTGACCAGGTCATATATAACGATTTTTCACGTTGTAATTTTATAGAGTAATGTTCGCGCACGTGTGTGGAAGAAGGACGGATAATCGATTCACAGGTTATCTTTTTGATGCCAGTTCAAGTGAGGATTTTAATGAACGTATAGCCTTTATTAAATCTTGTGAATCTCGTCTTTCCGCGATGCCCTCCCGTGAACTTTCAAGATTGAAATATACGAAATTTATTTGCGTTTCTCTGCCTAGGGATTTAATAAGGACAACGTATAAAGATCGTGTGTAAATGTACAAGTAACACGTCATATTGCGGAACGCGCGACGAAAAGATCGCACTGAAATACCGAGGAAATTCAAGGAAGAAAGCATAGGTTGAAAACGGTGTAAATATTTTTATTCCCTTACAGTTTGCTTAGTACAAGTTTACTTCGTTTTACAATTGCTTACACAGCTTTCGTTAGGAATAATTCATCATTCGTCTTACAGCGTATTGCAACCTGTTGTTGGTGTAACCGCATAATTCAAACGAGCAACTGCTTCGAAGGCACGGGATACGAATATCCATCGTTGGCAGAGGCGGCCGATTGCAACGACGACGAAACCGATCCACTTGCGAATCCACCGCTGTAGCTTGACACTCCGTTTGATCTGACGGGCACGCTGAGGGAGCTCAATGAAAGTCCACCTGCAGAAACGTGGCTGGACGTTTGACTCGGGTAACTGGCCGAGTTGAACGAAAGACCGACGGAGGGTACGGATTGGACGACGGCGCTTGGCACACCGTAAGACGTGCTAGGTGCACTCACTGCTCCCGTGGACAGAGGCACCGAAGCGGTTAAACTCGAGACGCTGTGGGCCGACGAGAGACTGGGCACCCCGTAGCTCGAACTCGGCACCGAGACAGAGCCGCTGTAAATCGGGAGAGGTGCAGAGACTGGTACACCGTAAGTTGGCGCTGGAACCGAGACAGGAACAGAGTACGATGGGACTGGGGCAGCAACTGGAGCGGAGTACGTTCGAAGAGAGGTAGGGACAGCAGCAGAAGGGGCAGGAACAGCAAGTGGCGCAGGAGGAGGAACGGGAACAGCAAGTGGCGCAGGAAGAGAAACGGGAAGAGCAACTGGCGCAGGAGCAGGGATTGGAACGGAAAGTGGTGCTGGAGCAGGGATTGGAACGGAAAGTGGTGCTGGAGCAGAGACTGGAACGGAAAGTGGTGCTGGAGCGGGGACTGGAACGGAAAGTGGTGCCGGAGCGGGTACTGGAACGGAAAGTGGTGCTGGAGCGCGTACTGGAACGGAAAGTGGTGCTGGGGCAGGGTCTGGAACTGAGTAAGATGGAACTAGCGCAGGAGCAGGAACTCCATAAGTTGGCTCCGGTGCAGAGTAAGACGGGACACCGTAGGACGAGCTTGGAACGGAAGAGACCACGTAGGGTCTCTTAACGGCGGATACAGGTGGAAGGTACTTTGCAGTAGAGTCTGCTCCTAATGCGTCGAAGTCATTGTTGCCTCCGATAAGACCACGTTTCCCCAGCTTCTTTGTAGGTTCGGTCGCGCTGATGGCGATCAACGAGGCGATGAACAAAGGAATCTGAAACGAAATGTACGTTAGATACGCGAACGAAGGTAACTGTTTTAACGAAGAAGAGTAAGAAGAAGAAGTAGCGCGAAGAAGAGCAAGTTAACTTTGTAACTGAAGCGAGTTTGGAAATATTCGGTCAGATCTCGGCTGCTACTTACTACGAACTTGTACATGATGTAGTTTGGTTAGGGAATGGAGTCGAAGTGTGGCCCAGACGAAAGATTCGTCGGTTTTTATACGGTGACACGACACGTGGAGATTCCTTTCACTGAGAGGATGCAGAGAATCCCCCAAACTTTTCTACCTTTCGTTACGAAGATACGTGTTTCTGTGTTCCAGCACTGTTCGTCACATTGAGAAAATTGCGTTTCACTCACTCGTTTAGCTTGACTATTTAGTAACTGATAGCATGATTAACACGAACTTAAGTAGACTCACTTGTGAAGCAGTACTTGCTTGTGAGAACTTTTACGTGAAAACTTACGTTCGCTAATAAAATTGTGCCGATGTTGTTAAATTAAAGAGAATAACTTGCAATTTTTTGGTGCATTTTTGTATGTTTCTTAGAAATCACGATTGAACGATGCGTTCGATAAATTTAATAGCTCTCTCTTTCTCTCTAAATACATATATATAGAGAGAGAAAACAATCAATGTCGTCAATGATGACATACCGTTTCCAATAGCGGGAAACGTCATATACACGTGCCATAATTACTCCAACAATTCAACAGGCTTGTCAACTCACTCGTAAGGGAAATAGAAATATTTATTGCTATAGTTTAATCTGTAAAAGTTTATATTAATTCCAGGAATTGTGGCATACATCGCGATGTGCGATCGTTTGTCGCAACAATTTTTCACGTCAATAAAACGTTGGAAACAATTTATTGAATCACGTTCTCACGTGGTATAGTTAGTTGATCGAGTTATTTTATACGTCGTAATCCAGACGATAAGTCACGATCCATCGTGATTTATTGTCCTTCAATCCATAATTCTTTCATTGTTTCGTTAATTGCAAGGCATCTACGCAAATCGTCTCGTTACGTCACTGTAATTTCTCTCTGATACGAATACTCGAACAAAATTGGTAGCTCTGTTGTTGGATCGTTTAATAACCACGAATACATAGAGTCAAAATCGCGTACGATTGTTAGAGAATGGAAACATACGTTTTGCCGAATCATGCAAATTGCCCACCTACAGAAAGTTCCGCGCGTTCTAAGCAGCCAGCCATTCATGACTTTCCCATACGATGACGTTATATAACGGGCGAGGAACAAGAAATCCAGCCTCCTCGTTCTCGTCTTCGTCGTTCGAGATTTACGACTGAGTCGAAGATAGAGGCATGGTGTATGTGACAATCTTTTGATAAGCCAGATCGTTCTCGCGCACGTGTCGTACTCTGAAAGGAGCGTCTAGCTGTTGCCTAATACCGCAAACACATTGTTTCGATACCCGTTTGGCCAGTGTCGCTCTCGTCGTAATTAGCCAATTACTCGTTAAAAGCCACATTCATCATCGGTAACGCTCTAATATTTGATATTGCGCAATGCTTTCCGCTGCGATTAACCTCGTTTCGCCGCTTCTTTTTTTCTTTCTTTTTTTTTTTTTCTTCGTTCGTTTCAAACGAAATGAACGATCGTATACATCGGAACGATCTTAAAAAAAGTGACAGGTTGCGAGAAGAGAAATATCTCACCGGTCAAGGATAATATTTCGGAAGATTTTTAACGAGTTCGTAGACATGCAAATGTATGCAAATATTCTTGAGAATATGATAATGATATCGTGATGCCGTGTTGCGTATACTACGGTATACGAGTATTTTAAATCGCGGAGAAATCAATGATTTATACTCTTTCCTAGTTTAGAAATTGAAAATAGAACCGTGACCTGAATCTTGCAGGCTGACCGAGTCTAACTGAAACTTGAGAGAAAATAGTCTCTCTCTTGAAATAGAACGGGCAAGGAATGCTTGAAGTAGGAGACGAGATGACCAAAAAATCTCACCTAAACTATTAATTTTTTTCTTTCTTTAATTATACAATTGTTTTCTAGAAAAGTTATTAATTTTTGCGCTAGATATTTCTTACAATCACAGCAAATAACGTGAGAGTAGAAATACCAATACATATACATATTTTTTATATTTTTTACTTTGAAGAAGATCATTTTACGTTAAAGATTCCAGATTTAGAACCTCAGAGTTCGTCTGTTCTTGTCACCTGGTCTGTGTTTGCATCTGGCACTAATTCGCTTGCACTGTTTCGTTTGATACTTCAGACACGTAGTTTCTTTCATCCGCAGGACACGCGCGTCAACCGTCTTTGATAACTACATGCTTTGAAACTTTGCTTAATTCCTCGCAATGCGGCAAGACTCAAGGAGGGCTCTCTCTTATTTAGTCAATCCCCCAGTGAATTAGCAAGTTTAATTAACCGACATAGTTTGCACATTGTTGCACCATTTGCCCGTATAATATTATAAATTGCACTTAATGAATATAAAGAACGCGGAGAGCGGTGTTTTAATACCCTCGCCGGTACCGTCCCGTATCACAATGATGTTGATTAATTACACGTAGAATGAAAACGTCAACTGTAACTACCTGTATTTATATAAGGTTAATGAGATGTAAATTTAATGCAAATACAACGAACTGCAAACATTCGAAGTAGCTGGGAAATGATCGATCGCGACGTAATCTGATTCAATTTGACGGAAATAATATATTGAAATTGATACTACGATGCGAGTGAAACAATTACGAAAATACAATTGCGAAATGTAACGACGAGAGTGATACGACGTACGTATTTTAAACGTCGAGAGCTGCGAGAATGCAAAGTTGGCCAGGTTAGTGTAAACGCGTCTTCAATCAGTGTTCGACTAAATTGTTCCGTCAACTGTACAAGCAACCGTACGGAAGGCTCGATTTGGTGATTGATGCTTATCGTTTCGATACTACGTCAGCCTAGGTTATCGAATCTCTAGTAACTACGTTTGACAATGAATCGCCCGGCGTTGCTCGCTTTCCGGCGAGATCTCTGACTATTCAATTGCCGAATCGATATCCCGCGAATTTTGAAACGTCCCCTAACGATATAAACGTTAAACACAAACTGAACGATAAACAACAATCGTCGAATTTCGAAATTAACATCGACATTTGCTTGTGACCATTTTTTTTTTTTTTTTTTTTTTTTTTCTTTCGAATAAACTCGGCTGACCGATCGATCCGACAGCGTGGATCGAAAATTACACGTCACTGGTAAAACTGCGATTAAACTACCGAGCCAATTTACCCTATCCGGCTTATTTCGAATGCACCAGTTCATATGGAACGCGTTACGCCGGATAGAACGCAATTTGTTATGAAATAATGGGATACTCTAGCGAACGAGGGTGCGAAAGCTTCAGATCCTCCCTTATTTTAATACGATTTTCTAGTTAGCAGCTCCTCCGAAGAATTCTCGTTTACTGGCGTTACGAAGATTTATTCCCTCCCATTCTGTATTCAGGTATTCACGGATGAACTTGTCTGCAGGCAAGTTGAAA